CTTTCCTACACACACACATACGGCCTTATTTCCTTCTACCCACAAGGACCAATCATCTATCTGCTAATGTGTGAAGAAAAAACAAAATATCGCTTCATAGGCCTTGGATTTATCACCCTATATTATGAAGAATTGGGAAGCAAATCTAAGCTTCTAAACATCTAGATTTGGTCTGCTGCAATCCGGTTTAGCCAGTGTTTTTAAGTACCCACTGAGATACTTTGTGATATTTCACCCAATGGGGTCGGGTGGTGTGATTGCTCCGACGCTCTTTGACGACTAACAGGCTTCAAAAGGGAGAAGTTATCAGTTAATATCTTAGTTGAGAATTAATAGGACTGATTCAAGAAGGAAGTAGAACAGAAGTCTCAAAATGCCTTAGCACAGAATTTTATTGTTGGCGATCTCTAGCCGTAGGCGGAGTGATATAACGAGTCTGTGAATAGCTCCTTCACAATTTAATTTTGAAGTCAATCTTGCGATGCAACTTATCGGATTGGTCTTTGGTCTAACACCTACGTGGTATCTAAGACCAAATGTGAACCACACATTCTCATCTACCTGCATGTCTTTCATCAGCCTTCCACAGGGACTCTTTCGCTGGAAATACACCATCCTTGGGTTCAAACGAGGACGCCTGGCTATGGGAGGCGCCGGAGGATGTGGACGTGGCGGTTGCAGTTCGTGACTTTGCTAAGGCCGCCCGTCTCATCGCCCGTGCACGTCGCCGACTCGCTCAATTCCTGCCCTCCGACGCCTCGCCCGATCACAACTACCCGCAGCAGACGCAGGTCTCTGCGGCTGCAATCGGTCTGACCAAGCTGAAGGACCGGGTAGAGGCGAGGGCGACCAACCTCTCTACCGTGCTGCAAGAGGAACTCACGCTTGCAGCGGATCGACACAGTACGTTACCCTGTTTCCTATTGTATTTAATCGTTTGACTTCAATCTACTCCAACTAGTAGTTGAGATGGGTTTTTACACATTATCATAAAGACGATATTTGCCGAATCCATTGTCCGCAAATACCACCAGTAATTTCGACTCTTCAGTTTTCATGGGAGGCTAAGTCGGAGAGAGGGTTTGTTATAGGGTCTGATGGTATTTAATGACCTCAAATACTGCGGATCACCTTTGTTAAGGCTAACTCTTACTTTTCGAATCCTGAAATTGCTTTTCAGGTCTAATGATCAGCAATGGTTTGAGGAGGAATTCAGATCTAAACGGTTTGACTTGATTTAGCCCTCTAATGGTGTACACCAGCTTCTCTGGTGTCTTTTACCATCTAGCGAGCTCATTTATTGGGTTTTCACTTAACAATAATGGCCATCAAGAATCAGGAAGTGCTTGTTTGAAAACAAATCCTCACTTCCCAAGTCTTCGCTCAAAAACACCAGGACCGGTTAAAGGGAGTACTGGAGCCAGATACAAGTATCAAAATACCTTAACTTGATTCCGTTTCCTGATGAGCTCCAATTCCGTCCGTATTCACTGGCTCCTAGGAATTGAAAAGATTAGCTGCCAAATTCCCAGTCTTCAAATCACTGTTTTGGTGGGGAAATAACAGGACTGATTCAAAGAGCCACTGTGGCTTAAAATGTGTCGAATGAGAGTTGAAATTTCAGTCGAGACGCAGTTTTTTTCAGAATCACCCCATCTGATAGATTGATGCGATCAAGGAATTACGGTGACAGCTACAGACCTACAGGGCGATGTTTCACTCAGGGTAGTGTTGTGATGTCAAGGTTTCTCCAGATCATTTTATTTACTACGCTTCCTTTCTTTACAGGTTGTTGAATGCGAGGAATTACTTTGAAAATCGCTGAATTTTGGCACAAATATTTTACTAAATAACCGTGTCCTTTCAATAGTGATGGAGAAGAGTGACTAGCTGCCTTTCTGCAAGAAAGCTTACTTGTTTGCTTTGTTGTCTAAAGTTGATTTAGCCTGCATGGGTTCCATCGGTGAGTGCACATCGGGCTTCTTTTGGTGGTGCAGTTCCTTTCTTCATCTGCTTGCTTCCCTTTTTTTCGCAATAAAAATGCTCTCTTCATTGCTTCTTCCGTTTTCCATTTACTCTTTTAATTTTCAAACGCTGTTGAAGTGACAATCCACCAGCTCTCATCGTTACGGTAAGGTCAGTTCATTGTAGTAATCTCAGGTCATCTCAGTCCCACATGGAAGAAGTGGTTTTGTACTCGTTAGAGGTCCACCCGTTTGTGAATTTAAGGCAATCAGGGACTTGTATTCGCTTATTGAAAATAAGACCAAGATTTTCGCTCTTTTATGCTCAAATATCCGCTTTTCACCTCTTAAACGTTTCCTTGCAGCGTTGTTTATCTTTATATCATGCAGACCATCAAGCATGATGCATACTTTGCTCACCGAAATGGCCACATCTCATATGGTCTTGCATCCTCTCCTACGGCTACATCCATCTGCCAATTAAACGCTGTTAAGTCTAACCATATTTTCACCTACGCTTGGAGTAACCATGTTTGCTCAGCATCGTTTCTTCATATTCATCCCAAAACCCCCTAATAATGGTTTAGTTTAAATCATCCATCCTTGAATCCACTAACACCAACTTTAACACCCCTTAAATTGCGGCTAAGGTGTACCGAGATTGTAAATACTTCCCTCCTTCATTATCAAATAACAGCTATAGTTGTGATTGACTTATCTAGCACATTTTTTTACTCAGTATCGGATGCTCATTCTCACTCACGCCTCAGTATCATCTTGAACGTGCTCCCATGTCTTGTTAGTAAACGAGCACTTCTCCTTTAGGTGCTAATCAGTCGGTGCATGTGGCCGTTGTCCAACTCTCCGAGTTGGGTAAAACGGTGTTGGCCCTACATCTCTTCCTCGCCTATCGTTCCGGCGTCATCGGCAGCAGTCTGGTGCATGGAGTGCGACAGGAGGGCAACCAGTTGGTCTACCTCAACCGCCTCAGTTTTGTCTTCCATCGGGGTCTCGTGGAATCTGTGGCCGAGTGGAGCCAACTCATTGATCAGTTGAGGAAACAGCCCGAATTTTCGGGCCTCGATGATGTGGTCACTTCAAGTAGCTGCCTTTTTCTCCTCTTGGTTTGTATTTGCTAGACTTTGATTATATTAGCTGTGGCCCAGTAGTATTGGTCCATCAATTGACGGCATTCGTTTGGTATATTTCCAACGAACCGGTTCATCTCACTAGAGTTGGCACAGGTTTGGTGCTTATTTTGCTAACTGGTTGGCAGCAAAGAAGTCTGGAAGATGTGCCTTGGGTGGTCTCTTGAGCTTAAACGGATGTTATTTACAACCTATAAGAGGGGGAATAATAGCAGAAAGGTGTAGTCCGTTGTAGCAGCATCTAGCATTCTCGTAAATACAGATAGCTGCTTCTGATTCTGCACAGCCTGAGAAATAGATCTGTGTAGGGAAGCAAGAAGGATAAAAAATCGCGAAAAGTGGTTTGCTGCAACTTGTTTAGCTGAATCAAAAATTATTCAAAGCTCATGTGTTAGGTATTTGCCTAAAACCAATTTGCGCAGTAAATGAAATGGGGTCGAGTGATCAGTCTCTTGTTCATTCGCAAAGTTTCATATCATCATTTTGGCCACCTGATTGGAATCAGTCGTTCTCTTGGTGTGTTGGATCAATCAAGCTGAAACCTGCATTATTAAACACTACTGGCTTTCGGGTCTAAACCTGTTTCAACATTTCCTCCTTTTTATTCTGATCACTATCCTTGTTAGGCACTGCTGTGATGCAGATTGCTGTTGAATTTATGATTTGCATAAATTTACATCTTACGTCTTCTGCATACTTTTCTGGAAAAGCCAGCGTTCTGGCAGCTGTTTTTTGTCTGTTTTTAACTAAGTTTATCGGCTGTTCATCTTCTGTCCAATTTTAGAGCTATGCAGTTGGGTTTTGGAGGAAACGGTCCGGTTTTGCAATCAGCTAAAAGTCATTCTCATCGACAGTCGATCAATCTCCTTCTATGCGATGGCTTGTGCCAGTGAGCGGATCCATGCTCATGCTAAAAAGGTGAACATCTTACTTATTCACTCATCCATCTCACATGTACCTCTAATTTTACCTGTGGAGTTTAGTTTTTCTTCAAGGTCTATCCGGAGAAATTTTAGCATTTTCGATCCCATACCTATATTTGTATTGTTTCTTCAGAGAACTATGATCCTATTGCTATTCTTGTCCTCTTAGACAACTGAATTGATAGGAGTTGATGTCAAGTCGACGGTGGACAATTGTCTATTGAAGTCGTGGCAACGAGCAGTTGAGGAGCAAGGCCGAGTGTACAAGGATGCCGTGGAGCATCGAGCATCTGTGAGTTCCAGTTTTTATGGTATTACCTTCCCCCTACCCTAATCCCTTAATTTGTTTTTTGTCGCCAACCTCGATAGAAGGAGAACTGGCAACCCACAGGCAATAGCGATGCCAACATCAAGACACTGACGGAGGCGGGTTTTCCGGAAGCCAAACAAAGTCTCAATGGTGAGTCGCTGATGGATCAATGATTCACATTGTCTTGAGCGCTGTATTTAGAGTGAAATATTTGTCTGACATGGGATGTAGAGTTTTAGTTTACCTTACGCCTCTACGTGGGATTTAATGAATGAAATAGCAACTTTCTCTGATTACATCATCGTTAGTCAACTCTACCATATTTATTAGTTTGTCACAGTTCTTTGAAAAGGGGCATAATTTTCTGCCATTCCATCTATCTGGTCGCATTTGAGGAAAAGCGCTTTCATGTGTTTACTTTTAAAACGCTGCCTTGCAGCGGCTGTATTCGTGTAAGGGCGTAAATTTCAGCTCTTGGACAAAATGAATTTTAGGTGTTTCCACGATCAATTTTTACGAATGTTGACCGAGTTCACAGTCTCCTACAGTGGCCATTCCACGAGGCTATTTTAGATAGAAAAACTCAACGGCAGATGTAGCATTTTTAGGTGATATAGTGAGCGTGCTCGTCAACTTTTCAGAGAAGGCCGGCTAAAACTCAGCTTACATTTTAACTGTACTGACAGTGAGGTTGAATTACCCATTTCGTGTTGAAAATGGTCCCTTGCTGACGATGAAGGGATAGGCGATAGTACCGCGTGATCCCACGTATGAGCTTCTTTGATGACGAAAATTAACTTATTAAGGCTGGGAGTCCACTCCTCGAGTGCTCAAAATTATCATCTACCTTCAATTTTAAAACGGTTTTGATTTGAAAGTTCTCGGCTTTAGTTTTGATTTTTATGGCGTTTATTAATGATTGGTGGTAATTCCTGTGTATGGATAACGATATGTGATTAGGTAATGTTTATCAGTGAGATACCAATCACTTAAAGAGCATTTTGATTGCTGCAATTACGCTGGTCAAGACAGAAATTATTAAAAAATGAACCACTCTCTAGACTTTATGGTCATTGCGATCTGCGCCAGGACTACGTTAAGTCCCCTTTTTGCAAATAGCAGTCCTAATCAAAATGGTTGTGCTGTGCAATACACTTAGGGGCGACGCGTTTTTGCCCCATCATCTTTATCTTTGAAAAAGTGCTTAAATGAAATCAAGACTCAGTTGAATGTTCTTGCAATTGAATATACTTAAGGGGTTTATTTTTGGGCGCTATACCTTTTTATAATAAGTGAACTCTAAATTACGCCTAGTCGACTACATCACCTTGAAATGGGTGACTTGAGTGCGCTGTGTGAATCGCTTCGTAGGCGTGCACATTAATAAAGAAGAACCCATTACCCATTTTCCCCCTCTTTTTCTCGGATCATGCTAAGGCGGCAGAGGTGGCCTGGCCGCCTTCACCACACAGACGACGCGCTCACTGTCGCAATTCGCGCATGCCTGTGCGCGTTTCGACTGCGTGGAGTTGCGCGAATGCTTCGCCACCACCCTGGCCAACATGCTGCGGTGCGACCTGGACGTCTACTCGCGCGCGCTGGCAGCAGCCAAGACTCCGGAGGAGGTGAGTTTCTCTCCTTTTTAAACGCTTGAGAGAGGTGGCGTGATGTGAACTGGAAATGTCTTCTACTGCTGCTCTTTTTCTGCGTTCTGCTATATGGAATTGATCCAATTCATTCTTAACCGCAGAGGCAGAAGTGGTCTTACTTTTTTCTCTGGAAGATGGTACAGCAGATACTAATCGGTGTCTCAACAACTTTCTAGCGGTAGTAACTGCTCTTTGATTAAGCATTGTCGCTTCCTTCCGCAATTGGGAACTACGGAATGTTCGCAGAACTGGGAGACCATTAGCTGAGGTCCATGTCGCATCGCAGGAGATTGATTAGGCAAGTCAAAAACTGGGCACGATCAAAAGAAATATCTGACTGTGACTTCCTTTCCCAATCATTGGAATAGGAGTTAATCCTTGGTCAAGCACTAGGATGTGACCAATATTAGATTTTGGACTGTGTTGTTGCTTCGCCTACATTTATTCAGTCCTTGCCATTGCGAATCAAGCATAATTAATTTTGTTCCTATTTGCGCTGTGATGAAAGCTAAAACGACTGAAGCATTTTGCAACCTCCTTGCTCATTTATGTTGAGCAGCCGAATCCAACCAGCTTTGTGTTGCCGATTGGCATCGACCGTTCCAACCTCGTCGTTACTAATTTACGTCCTCGTCAAGATGGTCGCAACTACTTGTTTTGAGTCGTGATTCCGACATTTTATGTGGCTCATTCTCAATGGTAAAAATCAGCTAGACAGGAACATTCTACCAAAAGCGTTGATACATCACTTGTGAAGATTTCAATGTCTATTGGCTCCACCGTCCGAACATTTCGTTCTGCATTACTTTGAATTATCTGTGTTCTGTTACTGGTTCCCTTAATGAACTCACACTTGGGAATAAAGTTGATTTTCAATCGGAAATGAAAAGGATTATCTGACATTGTATTAATTTTGCAGTCTAAGGAATTGAATATTTTTACTTAGTGTTCAAAAGTTGGTCACACTTCAATAAGAGAATCCCCAGTGGGGAAAATTAGCCACCTCCTCTGCTTCAGTTCTTCATTTACGTTGTGAACATGGTCGGAAGCCCCGATAGTTTGTTTCCGGATCAAGTTTCAAATAGTTTTACATGGGCCTATTCACATCCTCAATCTAATGTCGACTTGAATAACTGGTGTCGTAGAACACTTGTTCATTCATACTCACTTATGATTTGTTGGTTTGATAGTTAACAATGTATGTATAATCGTGATGAAAATGCTCTACGATCTAGTATTAGAAGACAAAAAAGATTATATCATTTTAATTTCATTTTTTACTAATGATATGCTTATCTGTTTCCAAGGTGCTACGAGATGTGACCTAGCCTGTACACTTTTCTTCATTTAGAGCAAGTTAATAATGGCAAATCTGCACTTCCTTGCGTACAAGGTGATCCCAAAGATCGCAACAAAGATTAATTGTGCCGACCACTTGGCTGTGACAGCGGTCATAAAGGGCTTCAAAAAACTCCTTCGAGGGACCCATCACTGATCATAATAATCTTCACCATATTCAGACTGTTTTAACTTTGTTGACCCCACTGCTTGAATACTATATGGGCTTGATTATCAGCTACTTTACTTGCTCTAGGGAAGGTCTGGTTATTGATTGAATGAGAAGCTACTGTTTGACTCCCTTACACGACGGTATTAAGCCGTACTAAATACAAATGGCTTATGTTTCCCAACCCTAGTCTATGTAGATAGCAAGAGATCGAATAAAAATTTTTATTGCTTACAAAAAGGTTTAACAGTAGAATGGGGTAGCCGTGATTTCTGTGCGAGCGCTGATTCACGAAAGTGAACAGAGCGGAACCTTGGAGTTGTCGGTAGTGCGGTTCCCGTTTTCTTCATCTGTTCATCTAAAAACAGGCAATCATAATGTTTTTTGGGGAGTGTACTTAGTTTTCGTAAATTATCATGTCTCCAAGAGGTGCGGGTTTCGTCGCTTAGTGTATTCATACTGGGGCAAAAAAATCATGAATGGATTACGAGTATCGTGGTTACGCGTGAAATATTTGGTATTACTTTATCAACTTACGTAACCGTAAAAAACTCAGAGCACGGTGAGGGAAAGCATTTGTCTCATTAGGGGACTTACTAAGAAATGATCAAAACGAGATGGTCTGGAACCAAATAATGTTCGATATGAGTACAGATGTTCATTTGGGAAAGAAATGGGAGATTTTAGCATAAGTTGTTTTCGAAAAAAGCATGTGCGTTAAGCAACTGAAGGATGCGGCGGTACGTACATGTCTCTGGTAAAGCGATTCAAGATTTTCGACGAGCTCGCAAAATGCATTGTGCCTATTGTTATATTGTTCTCGAAGATGATCCCTTTCTCTAACTTTGGCTGTACAATCTGCTTCCAGTTTATGAAGGATTTCAGCAAGGGCCTTCTTTTTGGCCAGGGCAATGTTTAGTTGGCTCTGAACTAGAGCTAGTTTCACATTCTAAAAAAGGTGTCATCATGTCGCAGATTACCTGTTCCGCCATTTCCATATCTTTTTCATGCATATTTTGCTTGATTTTGTGGATATTCATTTTGACAGTGTTTATTCGCTTTTTGACTGAAAATGACAGCAAATGTAGAAAACCCACCATCTCGTATTTTCTGTTGAGATTCAAGGCTTTCTCTCTCCGTCTGATAAATCTTTGCAAAAAGTTCATGCAACGGTCTGGTTATTTCGCTTGAAGTCATAGGCATTAAAGTATCACGACGCGCAATATCACAAAATGGCATTCATTCGATGTCCAAAAGTCACACAAAATACTAAAACAAAACAAACATCTGTTAGCTGCTTTAAAGGGTATAGAGGCGAAGTAGCTAGGCTTTCTAAAAAGTAGGAAATGCTAATAGCAACAAACTGTGCAAAAGAAGTACAATCCAGGAACCTGGTGCCTTGACAAAACCAAAAATAATTAATGGGCAATATCACCAGCCAAAAAATTAAAGACATAGACTATTTAGCGTTAACATAAGCAGTAGTTGCGTGGCTAGTATAAATATGTTCAACCCCTTCTATTCGTATTATTATTTTCAAAAAATCTTGCAAAATTATTTTAAAAAAATTACATAATTATAACTGATTAATTTAGTCTAATAATAATGCTCTAAAGGCTCTGCAACGTTTTGTTTAAGTTTATTAAATATAATTTATTTGAGGTCATATGAAATCACCCGAACTTACAATTTTGCTGGGACTGATTGCACATGAGTGTAGATACTGCAAGAATAACCTTAGACCTTGAAAAATTAAGATCTGCAAAAATTTACTTAGACCTAAATGCTTTAGACATTGTATTTTTTCTGGCTGGCTGTATGTCTTTCTACTTTTGTGCTTGAATGTAATCATTTCTAAGGTTTATTAAAATCTTAGTCCTACTTACGAAAACACGGTTTTATTTTTAGGTAACTTGGCTGAATAAAGTTCTAATTTAACTTTTATTGCAAGATTTGTATTTTTGCAACCTTGGTTTTAATTAATGTCTCAGAATTATTTTGTTTACCACCCGCTGTCTACCTTCACTCCTATTACTTTGAATTTACTGTGCATTAGTGTACCCGAAATATTTTTAAAACTTTAAATGGCTTTTAGAGTTTTAAATAATAGTAATAAGTAATTGAGACAATAGCTTTGAATTTGATCTATTCTGTAGTCCTCTTATTTGTTCTAGATATTTTGCGATTTCTTGTCAGTTTGTGTCTTTCGATAAGTAGATACTTTGGGATTACTTGCGTCATGGCAAAGAAGCTTCCGATTCAACATACAGCAATGGGCATTCTCTCGGGTAAATTGAATGCGACATGCTTCCTCAAGCTTCTAATCCAATCTAAACAATCACTTTTGACTAAAAGAATATGCACTCACCATTTATTACTTACGTCAGCTGCCATCATGCATCAAAATAGTTTCTGCAAACATACGTGGCATTAAATATGTTTAGCTAGATAATTTGATAAATATTTGACTTTGGATAATTTTTGTTTACAGTAGCTCGATACATTATTCACGGGATAAAGATATTTTGCTCCCATAAACTCTTGGTTTGCCTCTCAAACCATATTTGGAGCGTGGTATGCAGAAAGATTGTTTTATTTACATCGACCTTGTCAATTGCCGAACTGCGTTTAGATTGCATTGAGTTGTCACACTGTGCGCAAGATTTGGAAATTTCGAGTTTGTAACGAAGATACATCAAATAAAAATAGAGTTTTTGTGACAAGACAAAGTATAAGATCTTTACCAGCCAAAATGCACTGAATTTTAATGATAATAGCTTGATTTATACCGCATATTTATCAATTTTTTTTGCGCCTAGTGGTATGGCACATTTTTTTTCACATATCATGTGTTGTGAAGATGGAATGTCCCCTTACGTAGTCAGAGCAATAGTTTTGTTATTTTTACTTCAGGAGGAACTGCGGGAGCTATTGAAATTCTAATTACCTTCCCTACGGAGTATGTTAAGACGCAGCTTCAATTAGATGAGAGAACGGGGGTAGCTAGACGCTTTCATGGTCCTGTAGATTGCGTTAAACAAACCGTTCGAACACACGGATTTCGTGGCCTTTATCGTGGACTTTCCGTACTTTTGTATGCGGCGATTCCAAAATCTGCTGTTCGGTAAGTTTCATACATCTTCATCTCCAGTGTCTTTCTGTTTGCTGCTAGTTAGAAGGAATATTTTTAGTCCCTTTTAAAGCTTCATGATAAGCAAGAGCTCTGATGCCGTGGCGAAACACTTGAGGTATTTAGTCGGGTTTTACCTGTGTAATACGGCTGTAGCGTCGACTAAATATATGCTAAAATAGAGTGCTAATTTTTGCGCATATTTGATTTTGTAGCGTAATACTCTGAGTTTAACTTTATCTAAAATGTCTTTTTAAATATGCCTTTATTTTAGGCCTAATAATCTAATACATCCATTGTATCATTATTGGGTGTATTAGAATTAGTGTATTTATGCAAATTATTTTTACGTGACCCATCTTTTAGTAGTGCTTTTGACTTTGTGAAGAGTTATTAGCTGTGTTGCTCGTTACTTTTGCGTGCTTTTCAATTAAAAAGTTCTGCTCTCGCGGTGACGGAAGACATTGTTTCCATTCAACACAGAGCAAAACGCATGATCCACTAGAGAACAGAAAAATGATTATGTATCACCGAGCATAATCTTAAGGTAGAAAAAGTGTCAACGCTTCTAAAAAGTAATTTGCTAAATTAAAATCTAAAATTTATTTGAATCCATCTGCAGCACTACATGTTCTTTGGGATGAAATTCTGGGTGTCTAAGAGGTTTAGCGATTTCAACTCCTCAATTAGGTTTGGGGTTCAATGCGTAAACACTTTTTCCAAATACTTTCAGTTACCTAGCCCCATAAGTACAATTCTCACTTATGTGAACATTGCCCTCTTGTCCTTTTGTTCACCGCTTTTTTTCGTTTAATTTTCTTTTTTTAAAGATTTGGTGGCTTCGAAGAATTCAAACGACATAGTGTCTCCCCCGATGGCACTCTGACACCGGGAAGAAAATTCCTCTGTGGACTGGGTACTTTCTCAAAAATATCTCATTTTCTTAGAACTAACCTTTATACTGTTTAGTGAGACCTGCTTTTCTTTACACCATTCTTCAGCTTTATTTTCCTAGGGAAGCAAAAAGTGCGTAAGGTAGTAATTCAAAAGTGATATGACTAACTGAGGTCCAAACGAGAATTGTTTTTAAGTAACTTTTACCATGTGTGTTATGCAATCACTTCTTTGTGCGATTTCACTTCTCAAGTTAATTGTATGATCACAAAGGAGACCAGTAACTGTAAAGTAGTCTGCAAGAAAAGTGTCGTAAGTGCGAACACTTTCTCTTCTTTAACATCTTTGTGACCTTTGGGCCTTCGCATGATCGGTGCTCTGATAAGCCTGTATGGTTTTATTAAAAGATGGATATTCAATAAAAGAGTGGAATTTTTGTTACTTTCGTCCCACAGGAGCCGGAGTATGCGAGGCGATTTTGGTAGTTACTCCAATGGAGACGATCAAGGTCAAATTCATCAACGATCAGGCCTCAGCCAATCCACATTATCGTGGCTTCGTCCACGGCGTACGTAGCATCGCCAATGAATTTGGTACTTCCCACATTTAATCATTTCTCCATGTTTCTTTTGAAAGAGACCCACCGTAATATGGTTGTTAGGTTAAGTAAAAAGCAGAGTAGTTTAAGCAATTAAGGTGAGTCCAAAGAATCACCGGCATGTATTTGTACTAGTAACAATATTTTCACACTTCTTTGGCCTATTGGTGCAAGCCACGGTGAGGTTTTGGATCTATCTATTGTAGTTTGATCCGCATCGCATTTGTGGATAGTAAATAGTAGAGTAATGACTTGTGAGAAGATCGACTTCTATCCTATTTATAACCTTGTCTCCGTGTTTTACGACATTTGACTGACCATGCATCACAAAGCTGCAAAGAATTTTTGTGAACGACTTCGAACCTGCTCAATTGTCAAACTTACTAGATTAAATTATTTTTTGAAACAGTAAATATGGCAAACATTAATGATGCATCTGCTGCCAATAACAATTGCTTTTGATGCCTCACTGATCCCCAGATCTTGAGTCAGTACCACTGCTTAGCCTATTATGGAGGTGCACAATGCCAGAAAGGTTTCTCACCCAAATAAGTGGTGTGCTATGTGTTGTTCGGCTGGTAAGACATGTGACAATTGCTTGCTTTGTGGGATGAAATAACTGAAATT